TGAAGTGCCTGCAGAACCAGATAATGCTGATCAGGGGGAGCCTGATCAAGATGTGCCAGACCATGAGATTGCTGATCAGGTGGAGCCTAGTCAAGAAGAGCAGATTCAAGGAGAATCCAATCAGGGGGAGCCTCCAGCCCTACAAGAGAATGAAGATCAGGTCAGAAGATCCATCAGAAGTCGAAGACCGTCTACCAAGTATTCTTCATCAGAGTATATCATGTTGACTAATTATGGAGAGCCTGAAACATATGAGGAGGCCAGAGCTCATAACGACAGTGACAAATGGATGAAGGCAATGGAGTCGGAGATGGATTCCTTATCAAATAATGATACCTATGAGCTGGTGGAGCTTCCAAAGGGCAGGAAAGCATTGAAAAACAAGTGGGTGTTCAAATTGAAAAGAGACGACAACATGACAAGGTACAAGGCTCGTTTGGTTGTCAAAGGTTTTGGTCAAAAGAAAGGAGTTGACTTCGATGAGATTTTCTCACCGGTGGTGAAGATGACTTCCATTCGAGTTATCCTTGGTATGGCAGCAAGTATGGATCTTGAGCTCGAGCAGTTAGATGTTAAAACTGCATTTCTCCACGGCAAATTTAGAAGAGGAGATATACATGGAGCAACCCAAAGGCTTTGAAGTCAAAGGTAAAGAAAAATTTGGTGTGCAAGCTCAAGAAAAGCTTATATGGTCTTAAGCAGGCTCCGAGACAGTGGAATAAGAAGTTCAACTCATTCATGGTGAGTAATGGGTACAAGAGAACTCATGCTGACTCTTGTGTCTATATCAAACAATTTTCTGGAGGTAAATTCATCATCTTATTGCTTTATGTTGATGACATGTTGATTGTCGGACAAGATACCTCTATGATTAAAAAGCTCAAAGAAGAGTTATCTAAGTCCTTTGACATGAAGGACTTAGGGCCAGCCAAGCAGATTTTGGGCATGGATATAATTCGTGACAGAAAATCCAAAAAGTTGTGGCTGTCACAAGAAAAGTATGTTGAACGGGTGCTTGAAAGGTTCAACATGAAAGCAGCCAAATCGGTAAGCTCACCTTTAGCCAATCATATCAAGTTGAGCAAAAGAGTCATGTCCAAAAACATATGAAGAAAAGGAGAAAATGGCAGTTGTTCCCTACTCTTCAGCAGTAGGAAGTATCATGTATGCAATGGTGTGCACACGGCCAGATATTGCTCATGCAGTAGGTGTGGTGAGCAGGTTTCTCTCTAATCCAGGGAAGGACCACTGGGAAGCTGTTAAGTGGATTCTCAGATATTTGAAAGGGACTTCTAAGATGTGCTTGTGCTTTGGCGGTTCCAAACCAATCTTGGAAGGATTTACAGATGCTGACATGGGAGGTGACCTGGATGGTAGAAAATCTACGTCTGGGTACTTGTTTACTTTTGCAGGGGAGCCGTGTCTTGGCAATCCAAGTTACAAAAGTGCATTGTTTTTTGTCCACAACCGAGGCTGAATACATAGCCGCTACAGAAGCATGCAAGGAGTTGTTGTGGCTGAAGCGGTTTCTCCAAGAGTTGGGTTTGAAGCAAAGTGATTATGGCGTTTATTGTGATAGTCAGAGTGCTCTGGACTTGAGCAAGAACACTACATATCATTCACGCACTAAGCACATTGATATTCGTTATCACTGGATTAGAGACGCTATCGAGAACAAGTTGCTGCAGCTGAAGAAGATTCATACCGATAATAATTCTTCAGACATGTTGACAAAGGTAGTCACAAAATCAAAGTTGGAATTCTGCATTAAGGCTGCTGGGATGAACTCCAGGTAACTTGGAGTCATGATCGGAATTCCTCCCTCATGGACTGGAGGGGGAGATTGTTGGTATATGGTCCAGCCCATGATCAATGTTCTAGATTATTCTAGTAAGCAAGAGATGAGGCTGGAGCTTGCTAGACAATTCTAGAATGTTATTAAGTTGATGGAAGAAGCTAGAGAGTACTAGCTTCCTTGGTTGCAAATGGAAAGATCTAGAAGCTACAAGTATATGGCTAGTCTAGATTTTTCTATACTAGAGGTTTGAAGAAGGAACTAGAAACTAGTAGAATGCCAAGCCCTCACCTATAAATATGGGTGTGATGTAACCAATTGAGAACCAAGAGTGAGTAGCAAAGGATCAAGTCCAAAGCTAGAGTTCCACTCCAAGAGTGAGAGTGAGAGTGTTCCACTACACATTGTGTGAGTGAAGTTTAGAGTGATAGAAAGTGTGTGTTATACTTTCTTGTATCCATCAAGCCTTGTTTTTGGCTTGGTAAGACTACTCTTGTTGTATTCATCTTTTTCATATAGTGAAGATTGATCCTTGTTTGGTGGACGTAGGCATAAATTGCCGAACCACATAAATTCTTGGCGTCCATTTTCTACTTTACCTTGTGCATTCTCTATCTTGTAGTACCGACATTCCTAACAAATTGTACCGATTATAAGCATGAAATTCTGTAAATAAAAAACGAAGTGAATTGAGAAGCCAAGTTTATTTCTTAAATTATTATTCAAGATTAAAACATGCGTTTAATTCTAAACAGTAGCCTGTCGTGTAGATCAGGCAAAGTCCAGAAGAAGAATGCCTCAAACCAATCAGACAAGTTAATAAATAAATAAAAAATGGTTAATAAATATAATATAAATTCAATATTCTAGAGTGCTGTCCAAACCTAAGTATAATTAACAAAAGAAATAAACAATAAACAAAAGAATAAATTAAATAAATAAACAATAAGCAAAAGAATTAACACAAATATCGCAGCATTAAGATGATATTAAGAACATACCAGGGGCACCGGCAGGAGTGACAGATACTGAAAAAAATAACAAAACAAAGGGTTAAAAAATTGTAATTCATCAAATCTTAATTTCCAAAGAATCTAAAATAAAATAAATACATAAAAAGAGTATTTAGACAAGAAAGAAGAAAGACGGACATCCACAGTCGGCGACGGAAGGAGCGGAGACTTGGCAAGCGGCGGGGAGGGAGGTGGCCTTGGTGACGTTCAAAACGACGCCGAGTTGAGCACTGCTCTTGAAGGCCACACAGAGACAGGAAGCGTCGGCTTCGAGCACAGTCTTGAGGCCATTGCAGCAAGTCTCTGCTGGCTTCGTGGCGGTGCTCCCGTTCGACACAAACGGCAAGCAGTCTGCCATGGTCGAGATCAGGCTAATGCAGTCCACCGACGGGGCCGGCGCCGCGTGCTGCGACGGCGACGCAGAGTCCCCGAGTCCACACACTAGCACCGCCACCACCACCACCACTACAATACTGATCCAAACTCTCCCTGCACCTCCCATTTTTTCTTGTGTTTCTGTTAAAACTCAAGAATCTAACAAGCAACAGAAGTAGGTTATGAGTTGGGGAGGGATGGAGGGATGGAGGGGCTCTATACGTGTTTCGCATCGCGTGCTCCTGTTTCATGCCATTGTAGGAAAGGCCTCTTTTTTCTATGTAGAAATTATTTGTACGCCCCATTTTTTTTCTCTTACTTAAATAAGATTTTCTTCTTGTCCACGTACCACCGATGATATATATGGAAAGGATCCTCGCCGGATCCTTTTGCTGGGGATTCTTGGGATTTTATGATCGTTAGGTCAAAAATCATTTTAAAATTTAAAATTTAAAATTAAATATAAATAATACCTAACGAAAACTGATCGCATGATATACGATGAACTGTAACGATTGCGGGATCCCTAGGATCCCCAAGAAAATGATCCGGCAACGATCCTTTTCCCTGATCATCTGCGGGTAGATTTTTGTTATATTAGGATATCAATAGTAGGTTAAATAGTTAATTGTTATGAAGAATGGAATTGGTAGAGATTGTATTTTTACATAATATATAAAATGATAATTTTTTTTTCGCCACTACAATGAATGCAATCTGTATATAGTTTAAATTCGATATTGAAAGTTGAGATTAGAATACTAAATCAAATTATTATTCATTTTTTAGTATTAAATTCAATGATGATTGACCATATTCATTATTGACATTTATGAATTCACACATTTCTCTCCATTTCCTTGTGGTTAGATTGAATAATGATTAAAAGAAAAAACGTTAAATCAACAAAAATACGTATAAAAATAAAATGTGTGGATATCATTTCACTTGCACATTTTTTGTCTTAGATTTTGAGCAAGCATGCCAACAGAGGCCAATTATGCCAAGTGAGCCTATTGACATATGTCATAGCAACACATACAAAGGCATAAGACTAGCAGCTACCCTGCTCAATGTCTATAGAGGCAACTCGTCGAGAGGCAGCTTTCAAGGGCATTTCAAATTTTCAAAAGGCAACACCCAATTCTTTCATAAAGGATTTATGAGTAGGGGGTCAGCTGACGCACCTTGTCCCAAGGTGGATCCGCCACTGGCCGGATATATGGCCCCGCACACCAAGTGTAATGCTAGTATTGATTGAAAACTTCAAGAAAAATTCAATTAATTATATTATGACACTTAGTGTATGAACTATGTTTCCAGCACACTAAAAATTTCTCCCAAGCATGGCATTCTTCAGCAGAATTGTGTTTGATTGTGAGCTCCTAAATAAAATCATCCTACACAACTTCCTAAAACCCAATGATCACACTCGTCAAATTTTCAAACAGCTTGAACCGCCAAGAAAGGACTGTTTTTGTGCCGCCAACGCTAAATCCAAAGAAGCAATATACAAGGTATACTCTTTCAGCAATATACAAGGTATACTCTTTCAGTCTTTCTCGATCTAATATTAAGTGATTGAAAATTGGGTTTGGTGATTTTTCTGATATTTTTGTATGTTTTAGCTGTTAATTGCCTTATAAAGTTTTTTTTTTTTGGAATTTGTTTTTGAATTTTTGTTGCTGCAATATTTGTTGAACTGAAAAGGATTTGAAGGCTGATGCTTTTTTGTTCGATTTGCAGATTCAATATTGCATGTGCTGCTTTACCAGTATGTGAAATGTTAACACCTCTTAACTCATTTTACTTTGGCAAGGATACGAGAATTGCGTCCAAAACTCCCCAACTTCTATAAATATTTGGGAATGATGTCTTCTGAACCAAATACGAGATAGTTTCCCAACTTTTTAATCAAAATGTGGATTTGCTTTTTTGGTGAACGACTGACCAAATTTAATTTGAAAATTGAGCCTATTTGAGAGAGTTAATTCGTGAAGAATGTCCTACTGTTGTTACCTAGAGGTGTTTATAAAGAATCTGATCTGTTTATAAAGTAGTTCATTCTTTGAAGTCAACCACAAATTTTAAAGTGGGTTATAGATGCTATTGCTTGATTCTTTAGTTCTAGCAAAGAGGTTAGTCATTCTCTTATCAACATTTATTTTAAGCTCAAGTTCATGACATTGTTTTCAAGGAAATGACAGAAGTCACAGGCAGCAATCACCTGCAATCATCGCCGGAAAAATATCCTAGTCATTTTGAGCTTTGATTCAGTCAGCCTGCGGTAAACTTTTCTTTTCCGATTACTTTCATTTATTTATTTGTGAATCAACAACTTTTTAGGAATAATGAATGTCACAATTGCTGATAAATCGATTCTTTAGATATTACCTTTTGATTTTATCATTGTACATCATTTGTTCACTGTTTTTATTTTCTTCTGCAGCATGGAGAGCTGTGCAAGGCACTCTCTGCAATTTATTGCAAAATAATGTTAAATTGTCCTTCTTTGGAAACACAGCTCGAGCTAGGAGCAAGACTGGTATCTAAGCTATACATTCATTGCATGTAATACCGAGACAGAAGCATGTAAGTCATTCCTCTTAGTTTATGATTTTCCAACTACGTTTTTTTGATAGGTTTGATCATGTATATAAGCATTTGATAGTGAATACATGTGTGCTTCACAATTGAAAAGAAGTGGAATGGTAGGTTTTAAATCCTCCAACTACATTAAAGATAGAAATCTGTCTATGTTTCACAAACCAATTTACTTAACAATTTTTTTTTTCCTTCTTTTTCATCTTCCTCAATAAGTATTGTTTAATAAAACTACAATCTTATAGTTGTAACAACCAAAGAAGCCAGTTAGATTTTCCTTCATTTTGAAACAATTCCAAACCATGTATAACCTTTTTCGGGTTTTGGTATCTTCATTGAAACTACAAGTGAATATAGCAGAAGACTACAACTTTCTATAAAGTGGTTCCAATAATATAATTCCTTATATAATACTCTTACACTCTTTTACTAACTTTTCTTAGGTCATGCTATTCGTAAAGTGGTTTGAAGAGTTCCAAGAGCTTGATTCACCCAATTTCTCCTTTTCATGTAAAAATTCTTTCAAAAAGCTTAAACATCTTTTAGTCCAAATAACATTAACCTTTTGTAACAATCTTTTATCCATTTGAGGCATTTTTTCATACAATTTCTAATCCCGCATCAACATGCGGACACTATTTCTAGTAAAAAACTAAAAGTTAGAGAAGCAATATAAAAAGGGAAATGTTATTGGCACTCCAAAAATCTCATTCTACACTTCTCATAAGTGTATTTTTCTTTCCTAATATAGAAAGTTTGGAATGTAAAATGAGATTTTTGAAATGCTAATAACAATTTCCTATAAAAACTAAAAGTTAGTGTGTTGTTTGATAATCATTTCGTTTCAGTTTAATTTTCAATTTTTTTATTTTTTTTATTTTTAGTTTTCATCTTTTTTCAAAACTGAGGGTCGACCAAGCGAATTTTCAATTTTCAAAATAATAAAATCTAAACTAAAAATCAGAAACTGATATTTGAACTGAAATCGAAATAGTTATCAAACACGTTAAACTGACCAGCTAAATAACTGTTACAGTCCAATACTATTCATTTTAGTAGTGGCACGCTTACACAATTCCAGAATGGGATGTGCTATCCACACATCCTATGTTACTTCTCACACACCCTTTGATAATTTATGTCCATTGATCTTCTTCAATTCATCAGATCTGACGGCCGAAAATTAAAAAGGTGTGTGAGAAGTAAAATGAGGTGTATGGATATCACACCCCTTCCGGCATATAAGATTTACTCAACCTTATTGAGCCTGATATCTGAAGAGGGGCAGATTTTGAGCAAATCAATTTCATGTTTCCAAAAAATGACAATAATTCCAAAATCATGCTAAATTTTAAAATCTCATAAATCTACATCGTAAAACAATTTTTTGCACCCCAGTACTAATACTGGTAAAAAAAATGACCTGCGGAAATTATTTTCTTTCATAAATTAAAGAAACTTTAACGAAAAGCTCCTGGTACTGTTCACTTTAATGAAAAACCACATTTTTACACTAAAGAATCAATTCTGGTACTATTCACTTTACCCTTTATTTTGTCCTTATCGTTAAAACTAAAAGTTTTCAAACTCTTTTTATTAGTTTTCCTTAAATTTTATATGCATGAAACAATTTCCCACTCTATATCCATATGCACAAGCCAAGAGTTTTCATTTAAAAGAGAACTTCAAAGCTTCCACATTAGCTACTCACTGACATAATCAAGGACCGGAACTTTGACACCACAATTGCTTTAGACACACTACTTTTTTTTATATAGAAGATACACATGATGTTAGTTTCCTTTCGGTACTTCGCAATTGAAACAAATGATACAAAACACAGATTAATAAATACACAAGCACGTACTCGTGTGCACACACATATATACATATACATATGTACTTACCGTAAAGTACCGATGGGTTTCTTTTCTACACATGACAGGATAACGACCACATCATCAAGCTTGCCGCCACTATATCCGGCATACCCATGTGCCTTGGCTGCATCAGCAAATGGGCTCCTTGTAGATTTAGATTGCCCCAACTCTTGTGCACTAGTGGCCAAGACCTCTGCTATGTCCTTTGAATAGATGCACACACATAGACAACCGAAAGAAATTGGATATAAGAAACCGCTACAACAAATAAAGCTATCTGTTTTGCCAGAAATAATGTTTTCCTAGCTCAAGATGGAGTCATAGGTTTGTATTCTAAAGAATATTCTGTTTTGCAAATAAATTCAGTAATCATAAGAATAAAAGTTATTGAACGAAAAGAAGTGGCACCGCCATTATCAAGCCACATATGCTTTTGTCCAAAAGCCCTTTCTGCAATGTCTATGGCACCTTTAAGTGAATGCATGACAGTTCTTTTCTTTTTTCGGTTTCCTTTACAAAGAAGCTTATGAAAAAGAAACATAGACAAGAAAACCATTGAGATGTGCACCTGTAGTTCCAACCCGGTTTGCAGTGACTTCGATACAACTGAGGTGATCTCTTGCTCATACAAGTTGTTGAAGAGACCATCTGTTGCAGTGACAACCACATCGCCCACATCCAAATCAATTCGGTATTTCTGAGAACAGATTATTCTTGTTAGCGTAATCTCTTTCAACATGTAAGACGGTCAAGTTGCAAGAAGAGTTGGTATAGTAAAAATTTAAAATATACTGTTTCCGTCAGCAATTTGGAAAGTTTGTAGGGCACGTAATGGCAACCGTACCTCTAAAAGTTTTGAGGGATCATCACCGCTTTCAACCCGTACTGGAAAATTGAACTCGTGAACCATTGGTGATGATTTTTTAAAGACAGCACCATTTCTAATTACAATAAATCCCGAGTTTCCAATGTTGGCCACATGGAGAGCCTGCAAAAGCAATTTTCATTACCCTTGAAAATCAAAATTTACAAAAATTACATTTCAAGGTTGTCATATGCAATAACCAAACCATGATTTAAAAAAGAACAACTTAAAATGCTATAAGAGGAAGAAAAAAACTATCGATAATTAGTAACACCACCCTCATGGGAGAAAAAAACCCAACCATAAATTTTTAGTGTTTGCATGGTACTTAAATTAGTTTGAGCTTGTTGAAAAGTCAAAATGGGTTGGGTTGTAGAGTGTCTTTTTATAGATTGTGTAAGCATGAAGGGCGGCGGATGTATAGACATGCCCACAGATGGAAAATAACCATAAACATCTGGAAATACTATGACAAAGGTAGAGAAACACGGAATAAATAAAAAGTATCTATACCAAAAGGAGAACTGCATGAATGTTAACATATAACACAAAATAGAATCTATCCATGACCTTTTATACTTGGGCCCGTATAAAAGTAAACAAGCACTTGTTTAAGGTATTAGCAGGTTAATTTTGGATTTGTCCAATTCTCCCCTTTCGTTCCTCTCTCATGGGTACTTCCTTTAGGAAAGACCCAGAAATAATAATCCTAGGTAAGGAAAAGTTCATACCTGACCATCAAAATAAGCAACTAACACTGTGGATGATCCAGGAGATTTTGTACTGGATAAGCCTCTAATAAGGACTTCTTCTGGTTCAGTCAATGGTAAACCTTTGCAATCGGATATGAACCTTTCACAATTCTCCATGAGTTCACGAGCATATAGTCCAGGATTAACCCCTAAACATATCAGGAGCAATGTGTAACAAATTTAGCCTCAATTTTGTCTAAACAGAGGTAGATAATTTAACAGGCAACAACAACAAAGCCTTTTCCCTCTAAGTGGGGTCGGCGGTATGAATCCTAGAACGCCATTGTGCTCGGTTTTGTGCCACGTCTTCCGTTAGATGGATAATTTAACATGCATATTGAATAAATTAGAAGAAATTTTTGACTTTTGCCCTTGCCTTCCATTTGAAATAAGTGGGTCAACTAGCAGTAGATTTTAGAAAAAACTCTGCTTGTCAAACCACGGAAAAAAAGACTATTTAACAAAGGGAGATTGAGATGTAAGTATGGCTATCAGGCTATCAATTATTCAAAAATAGTGGGAACACTGAACCAAAAGCATGCACACAAAAAGACACAAGGATGCACCCACATACAAAAAGGTTTCATATTGTGTAACCAGAAGTGAATAACTTAACGGATATATTTGATAAATAAGTAAAACCATTTGGCTTCGGCGATGAAATAAGTGGGTTAACTAGTGGTAGTGTTTAGAAAAGAATCTGGTAGTCTAACACACTGAGATATAGGTATGGCCATCCAATATTCCTAACACTATTTATAGTGCAAAATTAAACTTCGAGGTGGTTAACTTGTACCTTCTAGCGACCACTGACCCACTCCATCAGCCACACCTAACCAGTTTTGGCCAGCAACAAAGTAAGCATCCTCCCCACCTGTCAATGCCTGGAATTTATTAATTCTTGAATTATTCACAGTTATACTAAATGCAAGCCAAAGGTCAAATAGGTACTTTGTTATGCGCACAGGTTTGCATGTATATGTGTGTGTGTCTAGCAGCGTATAAATAGATGAGAGTGAATTCAAGACAAACCAAACATAAAGCTCGTTTTGAGTTTCTTATAAAAAAAAAAGAAAATAAGAGTTTTCACTATAATGTACCACTCTAAACTATCGAAAAGTTATATAAAGTATGTGTACTAAGACTACATTTAAAACTTGAGAAGATACCTTTGAGGGATGTGGTAATAAAGCAGCACTGGAAGATAGTTGAAGAACAGCTGCAGGTACGTCCTCCCTGTTGAAGAAAGAAAGGGTCAGCTGTCCCAGTGTGCTTTATTGACAAAAATCCTCAGCAATAGACAAACAACATAGTGTAGGAAACAAAGCATGAACAAAAACATCAAGCCAGGCTTTTCCCAAAACCTAATCCCTCCACCAACATTACCAAGAACCGATTTGGTACAACAAATAAACTCATGCTATCCTTTTCCTTGCACCTATTGTACACAGACAGCTGGACCATTTTTTAAGTACTCTGGTGATTTCTACTGTCCTTGTATTTTTCATACAGAATATTAGATTTTAGAAGAAGATGAACTTCAAAAGCAGAAATATATATGGATATTATTTATTTGAGGTATATCAAGAGAAAAACTAGCATACCCATCAGAAGCGCCCTCAACTGTATGGAATTCCACTATCTTAGAAGTTGATACTCCTGAAACGTCACTTCTATGTGCTTCGCCCTCTGCGAATTCATCTTCTGAATTTGTGGAAGGGGCATTCTCAGCTAACTATGTACAAGATAAAACAAAAGCACATGAGGTCCTTAACATGAAAGAACTGTGTGATGTGCCAGACCAAAAAAACAAAACAAACATGTGCCAAATGATCCAGCTGCCAACTTGAGTCAGGCTATAAATTAAGAAAACATGTATAACATGTGTGCAGGTGTGCATGTATGTGCAAATTGAAGGCTTAGATTTAATCCAGACATCTCTTGTATTGAGGTCTTATAAAACAAAATACAGCTCCCCCCACAGCTGAGTTTCCATATATCTACTAGTCTAATGTGCACATTTACGGTAATGACTAATTCGCAAAAAGGCACAAACCAGGTGCCATCCAAAAGAACTGGAAGTATAAAAGAGGGAACAAAGCAGACAAAATTTGGAAAATAAATTTCATTAAGTTTCATTTATGTAACAAAGATGAAATGAAAGATTGTAGGACTTTGAAAGCTTTCTGAATCCAAAATCCAAATTAGAAATTAGCTCCATGACCTTAATCACTTGAGATACCCAGTTGGTTTAAAAACAGCATGGAAGATCCCCTCAAATAACCATCTGAAAACTTTAACATTGATCTCAGCTCTCGGCAAAACAATGCTGCACTCGTTAGATTTATCAATATCATGATTGTGTTCCATATCCATCTATCCATGTATCTATTTATCTACAAATATATATGTGGTGTGGGTGTAATAGTCTATATTTCGACTAGGATTGCGAAATAGCTGACCAATTCAAAAGTTCTTAAACAAGTGAGGCAATGCAAGAATCAAGAGTTAATTAGTTTTACTAACCACGAAGGAGACTTGAGTCTCATCCGCTGTGGTTGTGCTCGCGGTTGTGGTTTGTTCACCACCACTGCCGCCAGTTGCATCTTCGGTGCTCGTCACTGAAACCGCATCAACAGCATTCTCCTCGGCCTTTGCGGCTCTGTCACAGCCACTTGCTCCAAAAGCATGGATTTCATTGCTGACTTGAGTTTGATCTGCTGTAGTTGTGGTTGTGGTTCTAATTGTGATTTCTTCACCACCACCACCAGCAGCAGTCGCACTGCCAGTGCTCGTCACTGAAACCACATTAACACCATTCTCGGCCTCCGTGGCGCCGCCAATTGCTGGATAAGCATGAGTTATATTGCTGACCTGGGTTTCATCTGCTGTGGTTGTGATTGTGATTGTGGTTGTGGTTGTGGCTTCTTCACCTACACCACCGTGAGTCGAATTGTCGGTGCTCGTCACTGAAACCGCATCAATAACATTCTCTTCGGCACCTGCACCGCCACCAGCCCCACTTCCTGTGCTTCCCAACAATGTTTGGCTCAATTCTGAATCTTGCACAGGATCCTCCAGATGACTACGAGCATCAATCTCTGTTTCAGTGGCAACAGATTTCTCGCTCTCGTCCCCAAAGCGGAAGAGAAAGCTACCATCTCGCAACTCTGTCACACACAATTCACAAAGGAGTTAAATAAATAACACTAGTAATTAATACTCTGTTTGTTTCCTGAGAAAATTGGCAAGCCACATACCGCTTGTGGAAATGATATCAAAGTTTGAGGAGGAGGAGGAGGGGGAGGAGGAGGAGGAGGAGTGCGGCGGAAGCGTCGGCCGGAGCTTCGGAAATCCAATCGGAATTCTAGTGAGGACTGTTTCGTGCAAGGGTTTAAGCGGCGGAAGAATGTGGGTTGGAAACATGGCGGAGAAGCTCAACCCGCTTCTCACGAACGGATTACCCATTTTTCTTATATTATTATTATTATGTCGATCATATTAGGCAATCTGTACATACATTTGTTTATTTATAGTGCCAAAGTCCCAAATGCATGTTGCACAATTCATTATGTCAGTTTTTTTTTTCTCCTTTTAATATTGGTTTTTTCATGACATTGAGACAAAATAAAACAGCTTGTATGATACGAGTTTATTACCGCAATAATGTTTTGTGCCAATAATATAAATCATTGCATAATTAGTACAGAATATCACGCAACGATAAATTTTGAGATACAATACCTCGAGAGATGGGTAGCGACTGAAGGACATTATCTGTTGTGGATGTTGCTTGGGTAGTAATTAATGGGTGAGAATGACTCTCGCCAAGTCACATGTGCTCACGTGGCACGGATGTTTATGGGAGAAAACCTTAGATATATCGGTTCGACGACGTTTTGTGTTAATAGAATAAATTACATGGAAGTTTTTGTTTATATGTTTTTATCGTATTGGCACAAAGCGTCACGTGACATCATGACACATCAGAAATGCTTATTCCTAATACTAGTGGTTTATCGATTGGCATCCAGATAAGCTATAGATGCACATAGAGACATCATGCAGTGTCTCTGGTCTTATTTGATCACAAGCACACGCTACAAAGTTTAAATGTGGGCTTAATCTAAAATAACAACAAAATGCGGGGTAGAAAACGAGAAAGAAAAATAATAAAAAATCAGAAGTAGCTGTCGTTTTGGACCATTTGGTTATACTTTAGCACATTATCGTGGATGATATAATTCCGTCATTTTGCAAGGACCTTAATGATATTTTGTAACCTTAGCCTGTGGAGGGAGTGGCACGAAGACAAAGTGATAGTCCACGTGGTTGGAGGCAATGCATGCATGCGGATGGAGGGCTAGTTCTCATTGGTCCGAAATCTATCTAACACAACCTAGTCAGATTTCTTTGTCCTAGTTGGCTCCTCCCAACGCCACCCTCTAGATTCTCTCCCCTCTCCACTCTCTCATTCTCTCTCTCTCTCTCTCTCTCTCTCTCTCTCTCTAAAACTCATGGTGATAAAACACCACTTCCCAAGCAACTCTCAAACATTCATTGCCACCAGAAAAACTCTCTGAGTCTCTGTTTTTGCTTAGTGAGAGAGAGAGAGATGGCGGCAACCACCGGTGCAGTGCTCAACGGGTTGAACTCGGCGGCCTTCTTATGTGGAGGCAAGAGAAGTCAGGCCTTGCTCTCTGCTGCCACCGTTGGAAGCAAGGTTGGCGGTGCTTCTCCTACTCCTAAGAGGTTCATTGTGGTTGCTGCTGCGGCAAAGAAGTCTTGGATCCCGGCGGTTAAAGGCGGCGGCAACTTCATCGACCCCGAGTGGCTCGATGGCTCGTGAGTTTCATATATTATCAACCACATTATAATTCTAAGTTTGTCACAGATATATGTATGAATCTGATCTGATATACGCGTGCAGGCTTCCAGGTGACTACGGTTTTGATCCACTAGGACTAGGCAAGGACCCGGCGTTCCTCAAGTGGTACAGAGAGGCGGAGCTCATCCACGGCCGGTGGGCAATGGCGGCAGTCGTTGGTATCTTTGTTGGCCAGGCCTGGAGTGGTATCCCATGGTTCGAAGCCGGAGCTGACCCCAGTGCTATCTCACCCTTCTCCTTCGGCTCACTGCTCGGCACTCAGCTCTTGCTCATGGGATGGGTGGAAAGCAAGAGATGGGTGGACTTCTACAACCCTGAGTCCCAGTCCGTCGAGTGGGCCACACCTTGGTCCAAGACCTCGGAGAACTTCGCCAACTCCACCGGAGAGCAAGGCTACCCGGGTGGCAAGTTCTTCGACCCCTTGGGCTTCGCCGGCTCCATCCAGGACGGGGTTTACGTTCCAGACAGCGAAAAGTTGGAGAGACTGAAACTGGCTGAGATTAAGCATGCAAGGCTTGCTATGGTGGCTATGCTCATTTTCTACTTTGAAGCTGGGCAAGGAAAGACGCCCCTTGGTGCCCTTGGCTTGTAAACCATTTGGCATTTACTTTTCAATATGTAGATATAACTAATTACCCAATTTTTTTTTATCCTTTTCAATTTAATTGCTACTTAAATGCCGTTAACAACAGGAGATATTTTTCAGTGTGACCGATACACCAAGTGGTACACCACTTGTCATTATACAAATTGTGGGATATGTGTGCTAAAAAGTTAATAATTTAAAAAATAAAATTTCCCACCACTCTTATTAAAACACGTGGTATACCACTTGTGTTCCCGTCACAACTAAAATTTTTTTGTTAACGACATCTTGTCTTCGTAATCATGGCGCGAATTAACCATAAAAATCTCTTAAACACAATTTGAACTGCCAAAACGTTTACACGCAAGAGAGGATAAAAAATAGAACAATACTTGGCTACTCAAAGATGAGTAAGAACTCCTACTCAAAATTTCTCAAAATTGTTCGTTGTCAATTTGTACAACTTCGTGTTTATAATCAGAACCGTTCATATTATAAATCACCCTATAAAGGTCACCTCAAAAAATCAATTAAAACTAAGGTTGTTTAGTTATCATACTGTTTAAAAACAAATGAACGGTATTGGTAAAAACATTACAAACTGTTTATGTATTTGCTACAATAGATTGACTAAATGACCTTAGTTTTAATTTATTTTTTGCAGAGATGATCTTTACAATGTAATTCATATTATGAACGGTTCTGATCATAAGCACAAAGCTTTATGATTAAAATATTAAGAATTTTGAGTAAGAGTTCCTACCCATCTTTGAATAGCCAAGTATTATTCTAAAAAATAAAGCGAGAAGAAAAAATAGTATGAGTCAAGTGAAGAACACATGAAACCAATTTTAGCAATGAAATTACCGAAAATATTGAGATCAGTCACCACCGGTACCGGTAGCCATCAGAAATTCTCCCTCACATACGACTTCACCTCCAACGTAGGCCTTGCCTTCCATCTTTGCAATTCCAAAGCGTTTCTGCAACTTAATAAGCGTCATTCTCATCACTAATGTGTCACCGGCGATCACTGGTTTCCTGAATCGAACTTTGTCAATTCCGGCAAAAAAGAAAGTGTCACGAGAACCTCCCACTTCAGGTTGTAGCATAACCAAGCCACCAACCTGTGCCATTGCCTAGATACAACAAGCATTGACATATATCATTAGTAATCAAACACAGCAGCCAAGTGTTAACAGGAAACTTAGTCAACTGCAGCAATATGCATTATCATGTTGTTAAGATTACAGGATTTTATCACATGAATCGATACTGCAATGAGCTTCCCAAGGACATCACATGAATTGATATTGCAATGAGCTATCAGCCAAAGAAAAACAACATTAATAACGCATCACAAACCAGACCAGTTGATAGGACAGAACTAGTTCACAATAAGGTTTCTTGGGGATCAAATTATATAGGTCAAAGTAGTACAATCAATTGACAATTCTATTGCAAAGACTCATGGAAACGTTGAGATCTTCCATAACCACTTCCCTGCAATCCTTAAAAACCGCCAAATAGATGCTGTCCAGTGCAGATGATTTCTAACTGCCACACTCAAATATTGCACTACCAAACTCTTCCTTCAAACGATCGCTCTGACCAAGCTTCCTTCTCATTTATAGGACTCCAATCTACGTGCTCTAGTTTAGAAACACGATCCAAATTCTTTCAAAAGCCAAAATCCCAACTCAAGGATATTTCAACAGAGTTCACAAGACTAGAAATAGTCTTATAATGAAACGTTAGATATATCGGAAAGCCTGGGAAATAGATTCTGTAAAGAGTTTTCACCCAGCCACCCTATATTCAATGTCATCTTCCCATCCAAGGACAAAATGACAACTCCCCGAATAAGAATATAACCCTGGGACATATCTTTCCGAGTACTACAATTTGAGCCACTCAGAACTATCTTGAGTTCTTGACTAGTTCGGATTAAGAAAATCTGCAACTATCCTGGAATCCTATATGAACTAGTTGGGATTAAGATAACTTGGTCAACATTTCAGTTGATGATCAACCAGGGCAATCCCCAAACATTATACAGAATGCCAATACAAGTTAGCCGCTCAGTTGTATCCTACAAGTCACGTAAATATGGTATTTACACAAATGTCCTCTATCGTTTACAATAACTACATGTTAAAACACATACACTCACACAACACAAAAAACTCGAGAAAAAAAAAAAAAGTGAAATCTACTCCCATGTTTTCATTTTACTGTCACTCAGCGACACCATCTCAAGAGCATTGACATGTCCTTGACTTAGGAAAAAGAAAAGGCTTAAAATTGTGCAGAGTGGACCATGCACAACGACTTGACATGCGTGTTTTTGCACGGGAGTTTTCTAACATTCACTATTAATTTTACACTTTTAACATATCACTAATCTTGCTATTATTTTCGTTAGCTGTAGATCAGTACTCTAGATAGATTAGCGGAAATCATGTCCCTATGTTGTTTCATACGCTGCTTCTATTAATGAAAGCATGTTTCTGCTAATATAGACTTATATAATACACAAACACACACAAATGTACCTTATTATTTGTATTGTTTGAGGATAATGCATGTAAAGAGCGGCCTATCGTTTAGTTTGATAACGAAAAAAAGGATTACCTCAACCATGAGAACACCAGGCATAATCGGCCTCTCGGGGAAATGCCCAGGAAAGAAATTATCATTGATGGTGACATTCTTGATTGCAACAGCTGAAACTCCAGCATTGTATTCAATCACTCTATCCACTAACAGAAACGGAAACCTAAACCACCACCAAAACCCGATCAAACAAAATGTAGACTCAAACTAATTCAAATGATTTGGAAAAGAAACCGAGGGCGAGCTTGGGTGCAACGGAAAGGTTACTCCTTTGTGACCCAAAGATCACGGATTTGAATCGTGGAAACAGCCTCTTTTCAAGGGTAAGACTGCATCCGTTCCCCGACCCTCGCAATGCGGAGCCTTGTTGGCTTAGGATCGCCCTTTTTTATTTGAAAAAGAAACAAAATTTCGCAGGAAATGGTGCAGAAAAAGGCACTGACCGGTGAGGCAAAATATCACGAATTTGATTGATGTCCATGACGGTAGGAAAAGCCTCATATCCTGCACAGTTGGAAGTTGTAGTGGGGTATGATCAAAGAAATAAAAGAACAGAAAAGAGAAAATCAGTTCAGTTCTTACTGAGCTCAATGGGGGTGGAATCTTTATCCTTCGCAGCGTCGGCGGAGCAATGGGTGGTGGTTGAACTCCTCCTCTTAGTTTTCAAATGCGGCAACGGCAGCAGACACCTGGGAATCGCGACGGCGACAGAGATTCGGGATGGAGCATTTGGGCGGTGAATGAGCGGGGAGTGGCAAGTGAAGGAGGTGGAGGAAGCTGCGGTCGACATTGCTTAGGAGGGGTGATCTCTCTCTCTGTCTCTGTTAAGAAAGTGAATGGAGGGGGAGCATTTAAGACGAAGGACGACAGTAACGAGGTTGTTTATGAGAACGGCGGACATTACTAAGTTGTTTAAGGTTGTTGACCAAAAACAATACTAATGGCCCCTTTAAGGGGGCGTGGACATTACTAAGTTGTTTAAGGTTGTTGACCAAAAACAATACTAAAGGACCCTTTAAGGGGGCGTTTGTTTGACCGGATTAGGGGGGACTAGATTAGATTAGACTGTAGTTCCTTGTTTGGTTTGGACAAGGATTGGGTTTAATGAGCTTAAGTCGGACTCGCTCGAATTATACACCTCACTATGAGTTCTTAACGAGGATCCCCAATTTCGGCTGGACTCATAAGCCCTTATCCCTCCTTGCACATCGCTCGTCCAAGAACCCCAGCGTCGCACGTCCTGCTTGTCGCACATCGCTCCCTCCTTGCCCTGCTCCCTCATCGTCGTCCTCCTCACCCTCATCTCTGCGTCTTCCCTCATCTGCTCCGAGTTGTCTGGTAAACTTCGAATCTTCGATTTATTTCGTCGATTTGTTTTGCAGATCGTGATATTACTAAGCTTTATTTGATTTTGTTGTTTTGGGTTTGAGAAATTTTCAATCATAGACCTTTGCACTTGAACAAATTAGGGTTTTGATTTTTAGGTAAAATTGAGATTAGAATTTGGGGTTTTCATATTTCAACTTTTCTTTCAAATCCGAACTCAGAAACCATGCTTGACCATAAAATCGACAAGTTTCTTTTGCAGAAGGGACACATCCTTCCATCTCTATTATGTTAGCATAAATCTGTGTGGTTTTTCGTTTTTATGTTCTTGGTTCACGAATCTTTACCAGTTTCTCTTTTTTATTTTATTAAATTGCATATAGGGTTGGATGTTTGTGAATTGTTTGGATGAGAAATTATGTGAGTTGAAGAAATTTTTGTTATGCACTCTTTAAATGGTTTGTGGTTATGTTGAAAGTCGTATCCTCTGTTTGGTTTTGTTTATGCATTTTTTGATTTCCTTTTACCTTCCTCGGAGAACCTTCTGTCGCTCTTAAAGACAAACCCTATCAAGAAAAGAAAACTTAAACTTGTACCCTAAACAATCAATCCTGTGAATAAATGTGATCACTGGAGAAAATTAGGAGAGGTTTTCTACCAAGTTCTCTTCGAATCAATCCTTTTTTATGTCGTCTGTTCAGAAATTTGAAGTGGAGATGAGTAGTTAAAGGTGATGGCTTTCTTTTACCATGGAACTTTCTCGGACTACCTTGTTTGAATGGCATTGGAGATAGGCGGGAAGCAATTCCATATGTCCCGGCAATGCCTAACCATGATATTACAATGAATGTTTTGTACCGTGTGGGGTTGATACTGAACTTCAATATTCTGTGGGTGCAGAGAAGAGGAGCATAAACGGAAGTGGCCAGTGCTCAGAACCCAAGGGAAAACAAGTAACAAACGACTCAAAACCCTCGAGGCTAGAAGAAGGTATAATTCCTAAACCCATACATCAATTTTCGACATGAATCTATTGAATGTAGTCCTTGGATGTGTGAAAGTTTGCGTTGCATCTCTGGATGTGAATATGAATGTTTGCTTCTATGATATATAGAAAAACTTCTATGTTTAAAACCAATGTGTACGGCTGGTGAAAGAAAATTTTAGAGAAAGAGAGATTTCAGTTTCGAGGATTTTCAGTAAGCTGATTAGATCTCTTTAATCTCGTCAAATGGAGCATTCTCTCCTCGGTTGAACTTAACGTTAAGCGCCACTGAGTTGGCAACTCGAAATTCCCATTTGGAAACGCTTACTGATCTCAATACCCTGGATATCCAAGCAAACAAAAGTTAAAGGTCCAGTAAAGCTTAACAGTTAGAAAGTATGAGCGGGAAGTTGGAAAGCACCTATAGTAGTGCAATCTATGGCTAAGTTTCTAGGCCTAATATTAAAACAAATGAATCACTTGACTCAACATAAGAATGAAGAAAAATAATCACACCACAGTGATTACACACATTGGTTCATACGCTACAAGCACAAACAAACTATTAAATTGGTATAATTTGATTTCGGGCTCATGAACTGTAATGATGCAGTTAGTTGTGACTTAGCTACTTATTTTGGGGCTGTTGATGCAGTTAGTTGTCTCAGAATTCTTTGTATACCTTTTCTTTTGATCTAGTTCATTTGATATCATAATCACTTCATTTCCATCACCCTTAAATTACAGTAAATATTACATATATAATGTCCTCATTTTTTTTTCCTTTTGTTTTTTGTTTGGATAGATATGGATCTATGGAAGCTTTTATTGATCTTATTGTTAGAGATGTCTCATTTAGAGACAATTTTCATTTGTACGATTCTTGTGTTGCTGATGCTAAGGGCCAAACAAAAGACATGTTGAACGACGCACTTTGACTAACCGTTCACTTGTTAGAGATGAGAGATTAGTTTGTATTATCTGAATGGTATAATAGGGAATACTGATATTGAATGTGTCAACGAATTGAGAATGGATAGAAGGACTTTTGGCATATTATGTGACTTACTTCGTCAAGATGGGAGGGTAAAAATGGATGGTTTGGTGTCTGTAGAGGACCATGTGTGTATGACTTTACAAATACTAGCACATCATACTAAGAATCGTAGTGTTGGTGGTAGATTTTATAGGTCGAGACAGACTATAAGTAGGTATTTCAATAGTGTATTGCAATGAATTTTACGATTACATGGTATCCTACTAAAAGTCCCACAGCCTGTGCCTATTGATTCTACAGATCCTAGGTGGCGATGTTTTAAGGTATGTTGATAATTTTTTTCGTTTTCCCTAAGCTTTAACTAAAGATTCCCTTTGTATAAATTAACAAAAGCTTATTTTTTTTGTTTAGAATTGCTTGGGAGCATTAGATGGAACACACATTGATGTACATGTACCTGAAATTGACAAATCAAGATACCGAACAAGAAAGGGTCTAGTCGCAACTAATGTGTTAGGTGTGTGTTCAGGAGATATGCAGTTCATATATGTGTTTTCGGGGTGGGAAGGTTCCGCATCAGACTCTAGAGTGCTATATGATGCAATTACTAGGCCTAATGGTTTAAAGGTACCAGCGGGTAAGGCTACTAGTTAGTCTCAACTTTGTAAATTAGGTCTAGTTTTGTTTGTGAACTACAAAATACTAATAAGGTCTTTTTTTATTAGGTTATTATTACCTTGTAGATGGTGGTTATACAAATGGTGAAGGATTCCTTGCACCCTATAGAGGAATACCTTATCATTTATTTGAATGTGAAGGACGAACACCTTCCAATAAGGAAGAATATTTTAACATAAAGCAATCTAAGGCAAGGAATGTAATTGAACGTTGTTTTGGCTTGCTAAAAAGAAGGTTGGGGATACTAAGGAGTCCATCTTTCTATCCGATAAGGACACAAGGTCGAATAATTACCGCTTGTTGCCTGCTACACAATCTTATTAGGCAAGAGATGTTTGTAGATCCAATGGAGAATTTGCCAATAATAGAAGATGGACAAAACACAGAAGAAGGTGAATATGTTGGTAGTGTTGGAACATCTAACCAGTGGAGTGCAAAGAGGAATGCCATGGCTCAGGAAATGTATAATGAGTGGAGAGCAATTAGGAACCAGCAATCGAACTAGTTATATGTGTTAATGATAACATTTTATTTTAGTTTTCCTTTTTATCATCCATATGTTGGATATTAGCAAAATGATTAGATTGCTCATCATTGAATGTAATTCGATTTATTGATTGGATAGTATGCAAATTAATTGGATATTATGCAAATTGATTCTTTGTATTGTACTTTAGTACATTCAAATATTTTTTGTTTAGGTATAGATAACGACAATAATTTGAGTGCTGCTCAAGAGCCAAAAGGAAGAAGGCGTAAATGGGAAGCATTTGAGGAAGAAGTATTACTACCGTTCTAAAGGATTTTTGTTGCTCGGAAGCAACGGTGTGACACACAGGTGCTTTCAAACAAGGTACTTTGATTGAAATAGCGAAAGTTGTCGATATTTTATGTCCTAATTCAAATATAAAGGCAACTCCACATATTGAGTCAAAGTTGAAGAAATGGAAAAAAAACATATAGTTTGGTCATTGACATGATAAACACAAGTGGATTTGCATGGAATGATGTCAAAAAGTGTGTTGAAATTAACAGTGATGACACATGGCAAACTTATGTGCAGGTTCATATCCTATTTTATTTATACATTAGTTATATTCTTGCAGCTATATTTGTTACGCATGCTAAAATTTTAGTTTTTGCTATGTTGATATAATCTTAGAGAACAATAAAAAGAAGCCGATGGATGGAGAATCAAACATTTTCCACCGTATGATAGATTTGCATATATATTTGGAAAGGATCGAACTACGGGTAATGTAGCCGAAACCCCTGTTGAAATGATGGAGGAACAAAGTCATGATCAGGTTGGTGCAAGTGATATTGGAGGTGAAAATGTTTGTTTATCCAATGAACCAACAAAGCCAACAAAGCACCCCATCTGAAAATAGCCAAAGAAAGAGGAAAAGAGGAAGTTCAAGTAATGGAACAGAGGCAATTATCAGTGGACTGAAAGAATTTTATGTTGAAAGTGGGAAAAATGATGCAAATGGTAACTGAAGCTATAGTTCAAGGTACTACAGATCATAGCGACATAGCTAACGAACTTAGTGCAATGGGTCTTTCTCCTATGGATCAAATTGATGCATTGACTCTTATTTTGGAAAAACAACAAAATGGGTTTTTCTTAAGGACCCGTTAAGATAACAAGTGTGACACGACACGACCCGTTAAGATAACATGTGTTACACAAACACGACAGACACGACCCGTTTGCCAAACCAAATTTCAAGCAGTTGATTTCATTTCATCAATTGTCACATAAACTAGCTAATTTTTATGGAGATGACGATCATTTCATATTTTAATTGTTGTCTTTAAATATGCTCTGATATACTCTGGATTGCTTGAAGTTACCATCATCTTTCACTATAATAAAGAAATTTTAT